CGAAGATTTAGAAACAGTGATTTGTTTTTTTGCTTGTCATGACAGGATGTTTGGGCCGATAAAGGAACAAAACTAAATGATGGACTTGCGATCAGTCTTGCCTGCGGCCCAGTCGGCATCCACAGATGTGTGGAGTTTGAGGTTGCCGGTGGTGAATGGGAGCCCATAAGTTTGTGTGCTTTTGATGTGTCGAAGAAGTCGTTTCAGGGACTGGTAATTAGAGTTGCACGGGTTGTGCATATGTTGGCAAATCTGATTCGCAGCAAAGGCGATGTCGGGTCTAGTGATGGTGAGATATTGAAGTGCCCCCGGCAAGTTTCCGGTAGAGAGTGGGATCTTCAAATGGTTGTTCAGGATTGGAGCAGAGTGGAGGTTTTGTTGGCAATGGTGTGGGCGCATATTTGCAAGAAGTGAACCCGGCGGACTGGAGCAGCTCCTGAGCATAGGGCGCTTGATATAAGAATAAGCCATTGGCGGTTTGCTCAATTTGTATTCCAAGAAACGTCCGAACAGAGCCAAGTTCTTTGAGAGCAAACTGAGATTTGAGCCGGCTTAAGAGATGTTGAATTGTGACCTGATCGTTGCCTGTGAGAAGAAGATCATCCACATAGATTAAGAGGTAGAGGGAAATGCCATGAAGGTTGTAGATCATCAGAGATGGGTCGGATTTGCTGAAGACAAAATCGAACGCAGTGAGACTCGAGGTGAACTTCTCGAACCACTGCCTGGGGGCCTGTTTCAGGCCGTAAAGAAACTTGTTGAGTTTGCAGACATGAGTTGGGTTGTCTTGATCAACAAAACCCAACGGCTGCTTCATGAAAACAGCTTCATGAAGATCTCCATGTAAGAAGGCGTTGGAGATGTCGAATTGTAGTACCGGCCACTTGCGCTGTAGAGCGATGATGAGAAAGAGACGAATCGTGGGCATCTTAGCAACATGGTTGAATGTCTCATTATAGTTGAGGCCATGTTGTTGAGCAAAGCCCAGTGCAACCAAGCGGGCTTTGTGATGAGCAACGGAACCATCTGGATGGAGCTTAGTCTTGTAAGTCCAATGACAGCCGAGAACGGGTGTGTTGGAGGGAGCTGGGATGAGCGACCAGGTGTGTTGAGCTTGTAGAGCATCGTACTCAGTTTGCATAGCCTTCTGCCAATGGGAAAGGGAAGAGGCTTGTTTGAAGGTGGAGGGGGTGTTGTTTGAATCGACTATGGCAGAGATATCAAAGACATATCTTGGTTTGAGATGACCAGTTTTGAAGCGAGTGAGCATTGGGTGAGGTATGGAAGGAATGGGGTGAGGTGGTGAGGTGGAGAGGGAGGAGGATGAGTGGGGTGATATGAAAGAGGATGATGTGGAGATTGGAGTGTGAGTGGGGCTGGTGAGAGAGGGAGGTGAACAGGAGATAGATGTGGTTGTTGGTAGAGATGTGGGTGGAGTGTGGAAGGTTGAGGCAGGTACGAGCATGAGAGGGGAGGAGTCAGGCATGGTGGTGGAGCTGAGAGGAGAGGGATTCGTGGTGTGACTGGTGTGAAAGGGAAAGACTTGTTCATGAAATATAACATGGCGGGAGAAATGAATTTTGCGGGTTGAGAGATTGAAGCAGCGATAGCCTTTGTTAGACGATGAGTATCCGAGGAATACACATTCTTGAGAGCGAGGCTGTAGTTTGTTGGAGGTAAGAGGACGCAGCCAGGGAAAACAGAGACAGCCGAAGACTCTTAGGTGATCGTATGAAGGTAGATGATTGTGAAGAAGATGAAAGGGTATTTTGTAGTTGCAGATACTTGCGGGGAGACGATTGATGAGGTAATTTGATGTGAGTAAGGCTTCTGCCCAGAATGTATGTGGAAGAGAGGAAGCCTGAAGCAGAGTTCGTGTGATTTCAATGAGATGACGATTCTTGCGCTCGGCAAGCCCATTTTGCTCCGGCGTATAGGGACAGGTAAATTGGTGTTCAATGCCTTGGTTGGTGAGGTATTTGTTAAAGGAATGGTTGGTGTATTCTTCGCCATTGTCAGAACGAAGAGTGGATATCTTAGTTTGAAATTTATTTTTAACCATTTCGTTAAACTGTGTAAATTTTGAGAGCGTTTGATCTTTAGAGCTCATTGTATATATCCAGCAGTATCTTGTGTATTGATCGATGAATGTAACAAAATAACGAGAGCCGTTTAATGAAGAAATGGGAGACGGACCCCAAATGTCGGAGTGAACGAGAGCAAATTTACTGTTAACATTTGATGTGCTTAAAACAAAGGGTAGTTTATGGCTCTTGGCCAAATTACATGATTTGTATAATAAATAACTAGATAAAGAGTGACCAAAGGAAACTACATTGGATAGATATTGCATAGTTCGAATATTTGGATGACCGAGACGATCATGCCATAGATTTGTGGATTGCTGTTTGGTGACGAGGGCGATATGGGAAGGCGGAGAGATCAGAATGGTGTATAGGCCATTACGGACTTGTCCATGAAGTAGAGCTTGGTGGTTCGCTTGGTCCTGAATGAGAAAGTCATGGGCGTCAAAAGAAACAGAGCAGTTATTATCTGCGGTTAGCTTGTGTATATATAGTAGGTTATGAGAGAGGGAAGGTACGTGAAGAATTTGACGAAGAAGAAGCTTACGCTGAGTGTTGGGGAGGGCTAGTATGCCTTGGCCTTGGTTTTGGATGGGAAGAGAATTACCATTGGCGATGGATACGGAGTCGGAGCCGTAGTAAGGTTGGGATTGCTGGAGGGCTTGAGCGTTGGCAGTGAGGTGTGATGATGCTCCTGAGTCGAGTACCCAATAGTTGGTGTGAGTGTTTGGCTGAGGGTAAGACAAGTTTGGCTGGGAGTAGAATGCCTTGGTTGAGTCAGAGGCTGAGTACTGGAGATTGCAGCGATGCCAGCAAGTGAGTGCACTGTGGCCTATCTTGCCACATATTTGGCATGTCGGACGAGTGGAGTTGGCATTGTCCGGTGGCCTACTGGTTGCGGCTGTGCGAGGGTTACCTCGACCACGAGAGCTCCCTCTTCCCCTGTAGTTTCCTCTGCCACGGTTGACTGTGTACAAGGCTGTGTGATCTGAAGAGGGATTGATCTCGCGTTGTAGTTGGCTTTAAATGTTGATTTCTTCACTGCATAAAGAGTGAGTAGAGGACGTCGAGGCTAATGGAAAGTTGTGAGGTCCGAATGGAAGTCTTGAAGGCATTGTATGCAGGAGGTAATCCGTTGAGGATGTACATGAGAATGTCCTCAGCATCAATGTGCGACCCAGCCGCTGCTATGTTATCCACCAGCGTTTTGATCTGCGTGAGGTATTGATTCATGGAGCTATCCTTCATTTGAACATTGTGCAGTTCACTTTTCAGCTGAATTACTCTTGAGCTATTGGTGGGATGAAGCCGGTTTGATAGGGTCACTCAAATTTCACAGGTGCTCGAGAGGTGAAGGATATAGGGTATTACTGAGGGAGAGATTGTGGAAAGCAAAGATGAAGCTAGATTTTGATCAATGAGCTTCCAAAGTTGATTGTCGGCATGATTTTCGGGTTTGTCTGGTTGAGCTGAGCTTCCAGTCAGGTATCCCTCGAACCCGTTTGCCGAGAACAGTTTGTATACTTGTAAGCTCTAAATGGGGTAATTTTCGTTGGTGAGCTGAAGATTGATGATGGATTTGAGATTTGACATTAGAAATTTAAGAGGTGGAGGTATGACGAGCTCGGTCATGGCCGCGGAAAGTGTAGAAGTTGGCAGCATTGCAATAGAGGAGATCGGAGGCGTTGTCGCTGATGAGTCTTGTTCGGCCATCGTCGGAGAGGAGCGTCTTTGCTCTGATACCAAGAAGAAAGTCCTAAATGGACGGAGAAAAGAAACACAGAGGAGGAAGAAGAGCTACAGTGCTTTCTTTATATTTCATAATTAATATGGGTTACAGGAAATACATTATATATAGAGAAGTGGAGACATAATGAATTTATCCCTGTGAGCCATTAGCGGCAGTCTGACGCAGAAGAGGAGGTGGAGATGCTGCCGCCGGGTTGATCACGTGACTGAGCTGACTCAGTGAACGTGTGTGCTATCAGTGATTACATTGGTTGTTTCTCCAACTATATCCTTCAATTCCTCTAAGTTGTAGGTTAAGTTCTTGGTGAAGAGATTTATAGAGTGTTATTGTCAATGCTGGACATATTTCAGTGAGATATTGTATACCTTGTGGTTATAGTCAAAGCTGACAAAGCTGCGCGTAATGCGGCAAATGGGTCACATATGCATCTGTTTATATAAAAGAAAATTCAAAACCTCTATGAGGTGTGGGACTAAACCACAGTTTTTTTTCCTTTTTTGTTTTCCTGTGGCCAAAGAGAGAGAGAGAGAGAGAGAGAGAGAGAGAGAGAGAGACCGAGAAGCAGGCATGACCGCATGAGGGAGTTAAAAAAATTTAAAAAACTGTTATTAAACATATTATCTAAATATATATTTAAATAATATTATTTAGGATATTTCTTAATGTTATTAAACACATTATTTAAAAAAGTGTTATTAATATATATATATATATATATATATATATATAGCAAGCCTTCCCATTGCACAATTATTTTTTCATGCGAGTCAATTTGGTTTGCAAGCTCCCATATTCATCGGTCTTGTTTGCAATTCCCCAATGAATTCCCATCTCAAAAACCTATATCATGATCATGATTCCGGCTCGAGTTAATTTTGGTGGCTCATTTTTGTATTTAAACATATTTAAATCAAATTCAAATTGAAGTTGATATTTCAATAAACAATCTATAAATATAAAAGAGGAGTAAATTATTCCGAATTAAAAACTTTAAGCATATTTTTAATAAATTAAACATTAATTATATTTCTTTAATATTAAACATGAAATATATATAGTCAAATTTTTATTTAAATAATAAAAAATACAAATTTTTATTTAAATAATAAAAAATACAAATTTTCTGTATATATCTCGAAACAAATGACATGGATGCCTGCATGCGAAACTTTTTGGCCGCACAATTCGTATTTCATTGAACGAAACTTTGAAGCCCTAGCTCCACTTCAGTTATAGGAAACCGCCATTCTATCATCTCCCGCCGTCCCGCATGCTCGCGTTCGGGTATTTTCAAATCGCTGCACCCCCCTCACAGTTCGAGGAGCTGCGAATGCTGAAGAAGGAAAGCTGGAGCCTGGAGGCGAGGAAGCTGAAATGAAGATTGTAACTTACAATGTGAACGGCTTGCGGCAGCGCGTCTCCCAGCATGGCTCTCTTCTCAATCTGCTCAATTCCCTCGACGCTGACATCATCTGCTTCCAGGTATCCTCTTTTCCATACACTTTTTCTTGGATTTGTCTACTAAAACTTATTAGTCATCTCCCGCTGAACAGTATAGCTGTAGAGAACACAACGTATTCCTTAATAAGTTAACATGTTTTGTGTCCTATGCACATCTAATGGTATGTAGAGGAAAATGTTTTGTGCTAAAGGTATAATGAATGTTGTGTATGTTGAAGCATCGACTAGTATTAAAAGTTGTTGTGGAGTGACTAAAGAGTTTATAATTACGATAAGTTTATATAAGGTTCAACATTAAGGGTGAATCTAATTATATTGGGTATGAAGAAGCTAACCAAGGGTATTCAAAGTGAGGTGCCCTAATTTATATTTTTTTCGAAGATGATATAATTCTAATAGGTGAGAACGGTGTTGAAAAAAGTAGAAAGATTGAACAATGGGGAAAATATTAGATGACGAAGGGCTTAAGATTAGTAAAATAATGACAACGCATATTATGTATAGTTTTAATGGTGTGATATTAGTATTTGCCATCAGTAGATTTAGTACTACTTAAAAATAAAGCAATACATTAATAGAATAGATTTAAGTATATCGAATTTATTATACAAAATAAAAAGGATACAAATGAGAATTTAGCTCTAGAGTTAAGGATTGGTGGGTAAAGTGTAGTTGTACCCCATGAATACCATGCATTAAGAGAAATTCATAGACATTTTCACATAAAGTATGTAAAACTGCTATTATGGTTACCATGATATATGAATTAAGTGTTAAGCCGTACAAAAGTCATTGGTTGATGGATGCACAATAAAAGTATAAATGATAGATTGGCGAAATAAAAAAATGGATTATTGGGTGAGTTGGGGGGGGGGGGGGGGGGGGGGGGGTGGTTGGTTGGTTAGCAATTTAGATTGTTTGGCTATGTGAAATAAGGTTGGAGGACGAACCAATAAAATATGTTGAGAAAATTGATATAAAGTGACCAGGAAGGAAAAAAAGAGCTAGAGGAAAGATAACTTGGATAGAAGATGTGCAAATAAATTCATGTAAATCGATTTAAATCTATAATCTAGTAATCAACAAGGATACACGGAGAATGAGGATTCACAAAGGTGGTCCCATATGGCTTTGACAAGGCTAATTATGATGATGATACATGAGGAAGAGCTACTTTCTAGTCTTGTTATGCATTCCCATAATTTCCTACATTCAAATGTACTTTTAATACCTTCAGGCCTTATATGGTGGTGGGTCTTATTTGATTAATTGATGCTTTGCTCTTTAATTTCATTTTATTGTAAAATATATTGTTGGAACTTATTGGAGTTCATTAAAACGTCAAGTGAATGCATAAACTTGAGTTACCATCTTGGTATGCCCTTTACAAAATCTAAATGTATATTAGCTTATTCCTGGAAAAATATTTGCCTAAAATATTGAAATATTTTAGACAAGTGCTTCTCAAACATTTATGTTCTCTTTGCACTAGTACTTAATCATGGTCCTTATCTTAATTTCTGGCGTTGTGCATTATTGAACAAAACATTCATGATTTAATCCTCTCACTCTTAATTATTAGTTTAAAAATAATTAGATCTAATCAAGAATTATGATGAGAGTGGTTACTTAAAGTAGAAATGCTATAATGGATTCAACACTGCCATTTCACTATTCTACTTGAACAATTGGGATTGTACAAATGATTTCTCTTTTCATGGCTGTAATATGTTAATTTTTTTTCTTTCTTCTAATGATTTATTAATCTATTTCTTTAATTGATACGATTTATTTGTTATGATATTAAATCATTTCTATTAACATTTTGTCTAAGAGATTTTTTTTGATAGGAGACAAAATTACAAAGACAAGATTTGTCGGTGGATGTTACTATGGCAGAGGGCTATGAGGCTTTTTTTTCTTGCACTCGCACATCTAGCAAAGGACGCCTTGGTTATTCTGGTATGCTACTTTATTTATATAAGGAATTCAGTTATATCATATGATGAGCTTTTTGTATTTTACATTCATCTTCCTATGTTATTCCTACCATAACTACATGATTAGATGCGGTGGTTAGGATGCTGATCACCAGTTTGTCTTTGGTGGTTTGTAGAAAATCTATCTCTTGGCAATTGTTTAAAATGAGTTGCTACTAAGGTTTTGAAATGCTAACTTCGGGTATATGATGGTGTAATCAGGGCGATTGTTTTTCTTTAAAATATTGCAAGGTAATCCAAAATATTGGCATATCTTTAGGTTTGTTTCTTTGCAGAAAGCAATCTTATCAATTGGATGTTCTATTAGAGAGTCTTGTGTTATTATTATCATGTTTCATCATCAACAGGTTCTTGTTTTATTTTTTATTTATTTATTTTCCTCTTTTGGCCGACTATGACTAACTGCCATGCCTTTCTTCATCTTTATTCTATACTTTATTGTTTAATTTAATAATATTTGGCACTTTCGTTGATAAATGTTCCAGAATGTCTTCAAAGGGAGGGCTTGCAGGATCATTCAATTTATTCCGCTGAGAATAACTTACGAAGCGCTATTTTTCCCTGCAAAAGCATAAATATCATATAGCTACCATTACATTATCACCTCTCCATTTGATGGGTCAACTATTTGACTTTAGCATCACACTTATGATCTACTATAGTTTGGGATTTTGGCCATGCTCTAGTTATCATTTTGACTAGGATAATGAAACTCAAGAAGTCAAAAGTTTAAAAATACTTCTAGGAGCAAGTTTTTGTTTATTATTTATATTTTGGACATTTCAAGATGATATATTTAAGGGTTTATGCATTTGTATCTTGAAGCATATGAGATATTTGACATAGTCACACTTTGAAAACATCTGGTTTATATCCTTCTCAAGTGAATATTTTCTTATGAAAGTTCCGTTAATTAATTCACTCTCTCTCTCCTCTCCACCCTTTTGAGGTTCCCCTTAGCTCGCTACTGGTTGATCTCTTAGAGAGAAATCTTCAACGATGCATGTATCAATCAATTATATTATGTTACAATTATTTATAATTGTTACATAATAAGACACAATTTATAAGAATTCCCATGCAAAATGACTAATAATGAGAAATTATACATGTAAATAAGACATGCATCTGTTTGTGAGAAGTAACATTGAAGATAATAAATAAATGCTAAAATGGCAAAAGAACATAAGCCATAATGTGATGACCACATTGCTGAATGGGTCTTGTTGTGGGTCGGAGCCCCTAAGTTGCAAGAACTTATATATGGAAAGTTGAAATGTTGCACTCATTTAGAGCATCATAAAACCATGGGGGAGGAACTGGTGGATTGGGTCATAGGCTGGTTTTAAATGGTGTGCTCCACCCATAACAACATATGCGAAAAAACACTTAAGGCTGGAGGTCTATCAATAAGATATAAGATTCCCAATAACTAATGTTCATGCTAGCTGGCAAATATAATATAAAAGAAATAGGCCATACTTTATTAGTTTGTTTGTGTAGTGTTGAGATTAGATTGTGGAGTTTATGGTAGTAATAGTATGAGAAGCAATCAAAATAGTCATCAACTATGACGTAGTAATCTTAATCATAACCCAAGCAGTGCGATGAACAACAACAAACACTTTTACATTTTCAGCTTGTATAACAATGTTTATGGAAGAGCACTTATGTATATGATGAATCAAAGATACAATTGATAACGATGCATGCATGAGTGATGCAATGAACTTTAAATGATGTTCAAGGGATTGACCACTAGTTACTTTAAATGGAGGCTGGTCATCCATTCTACTAATAAAAGCATGTTTAACAGCCTCAAACGCGGGCAAAGTTAAAGCCCATTTTCCTAGGCTATACTTTTCAAGATTTTCTATGGGGTTACTTCGATATTTATTAACTACTAAGATGATTTCCTTATAAAATGATTATTTCCACTTTTTAGTTTTACCTATACTAGATTAAACTATTTGTTCATGTAGTTCATTCAGTAAGCTTTTCATGATATACTAAGCTTTAGAACAAAGGAAGGAATTGAAAAATTTAGAAGCGCAATGATAGTTTAGAATCTTTTTAGATTTAATTTAACATTCAGTCTGAGTGTTCGAATATAACTGGTATGATCCAATGGAAACACTAATTGGACAATAATGATGTTGGCAGTCAGGTAATGGTGTGGTCAAAATATGTTAGATCTAGTAGTGTTGATCTTATTTTCTATATATTCTTCAACAAGAAAATTGGAATGGATTCTTTGAAAGAAACACTTATATTTATCAATGTTTAATGATGCCTTAATTGCTTGCAATTCAATAGTGAGCGTTTCTTATCTAAACACATCAGCTGTAATTTTTCATGTTGATCTATCACAAGAAAATTTGAACCATCACCATCATTGAATTCAGAATTTCAATGTAGACATGCCCATATATCCATGCATTGATCCGAGGCAGTGGTGGCTGCCTAAAATTGCCGCCTCTGTCAGTCTCCAAGTTTTTGTTGCATCATGGGTAGAACTATCTTACAAGATTCTGCACAAATTTCTGATTGTGGGTGGGTATAATTGCTTTCTTCCATTTGGATAAGCATACACAATAAACCAAACATTCCTACATTCATCATAACCTATCCTATAAATATGGCTCTGATCATTTCACTTAGGGGATCCCTCTTTAAATTTTTTGGGAAACTTAAGGATTCACTATTGCGAAAATTTCTATCATCAAAATTTCAATCTAACCTTAAATTTTATCTCAACAGCATCGCCAATTTTGCCAAAACAACTTTTGTTTAAAAAGGACATTTCTATTCATCTGTTCTCATATGCTAACGACTAATTGTGATCCTCTACACTCGCCTTGATGTAGCATTTGTTGATGATCAATTGAAGACTATCGTAGAAATCAAGCTGATAGCTTTTGCTTACAAAAAGCTTGTTTTCGTCGTGGATGATTATCTCTCTTGTTTGAATCAATTGAGTAGGATTTGTGTTATCTAGTTAGCACCTTATGTAGCACTGTATGAACTGAGTGGGATTGCTAATGCCGGCTCTTCTTGTTATCATGCAGCTAAAATGATTATGAGGATGAGTTTCAAATGTACTAATTTTCTTTATTCTATAAACATTGTGTTATGCAGTCATTGTGTATTTGGAGAAACCAATGAATACAATGTATTTATGCTTGCACCAATGATAAGTTATTAGTTTTTACTCGACCTGTTTTTAATGGATTGAGGCTATAGGTGTTGCAACATTTTGCCGGGTTAGCTCAGCATTTTCCACAAAAGAGGTGGCATTACCTGTTGCAGCTGAGGAAGGTTTCACTGGCCTTCTTGAATCTTCAAAAATGCAGGATACTGTTGTAAGCGATCTCTATATTGAGAAGAATTTGCATGCGGAGGGTTTTGAACACGTGACAAAAGAGAATCTATTAAAGGTTGATAGTGAGGGACGATGCATCATCACTGATCATGGCCATTTTGGTAAGCTAGTTTATAAAAGCAAAATAGTTTATATTAAATATACATATAATATTTTACATTTATGGTTCTTTTCGTTATTTGTTCTATGTTTTCTTTTTTGATTTACCATGCCTTATGATAAGTTTTTACTTCAACAATGCATGCATCATAAAATAGTTATTTCTGATTTGACCATGTTTGTGTACTAATAATAAAATGGTTTTTGTGCAGTTCTTTTTAATCTATATGGTCCTCGAGCTGATGGTGATGATAAGGAAAGAACCAATTTCAAATTTCTGTTCTATAAGCTGTTACAGGTAATAATGTTTTATCTTACGCTGCTTTTGTGTATACACTCTTCTTGTATCAGCAATATAATTGTATGCAGCTTTCAAACACATGCAAAAAGTATTCATTGTAGTGCAAGAGCTAGCTAGATGTTGGGCTGAGTCTATTGTCCAGAGGTTGTTTGGAAGTGCCTAGATGGATAAAAACCTACAATAGGTGTAACTTTTATAGCCATGGTAAGCTCAAACCGAAACAGCCAACCTCCATGAAACCAACAACAACCAAAGGACAAATGGACCCCCCAAGCCGGCAAACCCAAGGAAACAAAATCCAAACCTCTTCCTACCATGATCATTGGATTTACCACCATCATTGGATAGCATAAAAACAAAAAAAAATAGAAAATATAACTAATATTGTTCATAACAAAAAAAATTAAGCAAAATCTAAATGCATCACATGGGTACTGGAAACGTTCAAACACCTTATCCAAATTGCAAGAGGGTGGTTGATAATTATTACAACCAACACCCTAAAGTTAGATGGTACAATTTTGCATTGCTGTCAAGATTGTTTAATGATTCATGTTGCTTGAAATCATTTTAAGCAAAGCATTAATTCATGATAATGATTTACTTATAGTGATGTTATATACTTTTTTTTTTCATGTTATTATATATTATTCTCCATTTCAAATCCTTAAAGTGACAATTTTCTTAGAAAGCAATATAATATAATTTAAGATCTAGTGTTGATAGGTTACGATGGACATTTAAATAAGCACATGTATTCAGGTCTAGTATGGTTCATTAGTTTCCAACCTAATTAATTAATGCTTGACCTAAACTCAACCCTGTGACAGATGAATAGTAACACTTGTAAATTCGAGCCACTTATTCACCGACTAACCTGAATGCCATACATTATTAAAGGTATTGAAATGTTTTTATGGTTTGTGGAAATTAATTGTGTGATGTGAGGATGACAAATTATCATAAGTGAAATTGCTGTTATAGTTTGGTGACATTTGGATAGGTGGTTAATGGTTATGAATGAAAAATAGCTGGTTATTAATGGGTCATAATTTGAACTGAACCTATTATTCATGGTATAATTGGGGTTTCCTTACGTTGATAGTAACCTGAGTCTCGAATGTTCTTTAGGATTATATCGGGTTACTTTAAATTTGGACTAACTTCTAATTAAATTCAACCTTCACATTTTTTTTTTTGCTCGATGACTGAATAGTTATGAGTTACTCTTCTTGCATAAAAGTTTGTAAGAAAACTTATTGTTAGATACTTTTATAGTGAGGGTCAATAATGTACTCACATGTTTGTAAGGAAACTTATTGCTAGATAATTTTATATTGAGGGAACGCTGCCATTGCCATATCCCAAATGAGAAAAGTGGCATGTTGCATTAGGTTGTTGACAATCAGTATAAAATTTGTCAAACAATCATGACATGAATCCCTTAATACGTTGTGTTATATGACACAATGGAGAAAAATGATTCATGTACCTCATGTAGTGGGATCAAAGCTTGATGTTGTTGTTGATGTTATTGGCCAATGATGTACCCACATATCGATTATATAATGCCACATTTGATCATAATAACAATACAAAATCTATAAGTAGCAAAACTAACTAAGGGAGCAAAATTTGTCAATTAAGGTACCACATGAAATTTTGGTTTGCTACCCTGGTTAGGCTTATCCAATCAAAATCTAATTTAAAGGGAGAAGATCATTCTTTACATAATACAATAAACAATGAATGATAAAATCATTCCAACATGACGATTTACTTACCTTCAACCATTAAGGCCAACAACAATCTCACAAATAGCTTCTTGTAATCTATTTTTCTTTGCACTTAACATGCATGACATACAGTTGTATAACCATCAAATATTACATTTGAATTTTCACTAACTCTTGATTGAGTGGCATTGCTTTAGATCTATAGAGTAGAGGTCCAAAGTTTGACCCTTTTCAACTAAAAAAAACCCCTCAATTTATTTGCTTTCAAAGAAGATGTCAAATCAATAGCACACTTGCAAATGAATCATAAATCCAGTAGATAAACAACGCCTAATTGAAAATTTTCTCCATAAATAATGTAATTAATTGATGCAATTCAACAAGAATAATGGTCATCATAATCACAATGATGCTACAAAGTTACTAGGTTTGAGACAATTACTCTAGCCTTTTCAGAGTGATGGTGAAATAATGGGGATATTATAGTTGAGTTCAAGTTGGATGGTTGAAGTGAAGAAATGCATCGGGCTTGTTGTGTGATAGAAAAGTCCCTCTCAAACTTAAGGGAAATTCTATAAGATGGTGGTGGGACCTGCAATGCTTTATGGAGCAGAATGTTGGCCATTAAAAGAGAAGCTTAATATTAAGTTAATTATTGCAGAGATGTGGATGCTCAGGTGGATGAGTGACTTTACTCTTAGAGATAGGATACAAAATGAGCATGTTCATAAAAAGGTTGAAGTAGCTAAATTGGAAGATAATATTAGAGAGAGCCGCCTTACATGATTTGGTCACATAAAACGGCGGCCTTCTGATCATCCAGTTAGGAGAGTAGATGTATTAGATTTGACTTATGTTAAGAAAGATAGAGATAGACCTAAAAAGTCTATGTTAGAAAATATTAGAAATGACATTTTTTTATTAGATTTAAATGTGAATTCAACTCTTATAAGGAAACAATGGAGAAAAAAGATTCATGTAGCCTTTTCCACGTAGTGGGATAAATGCTTGATGTTGTTGTTGTACATGCGGGCAAGTTGACAACCCTTTGGTGCTCTTGCGTAAGAGATGGGTAATGGACACCTACTTGAGCCACATCCTTATATGTACTCTCACTTAGTGTCGCTTCTACCAACCATGATAACAGTATGTTCCTTAGTATCATTATTTGGGATTAAATTGCTCAAGCTTGAACTTGCTAATTCTTAAAGAGGAATTGTGTTAGTATTGGCCTCAAAGTTCCACAGTAACAATTTTAGAATGCTAAACTACTCCAATAACTCACTTATTATACACATGAATTTATGTGCTACCAGGCTAGTACAATTACTTTGTTGAACTTATCTTATATCTCACTGTTATATCTCATGTAATAGTCAACGATAAGGTTTTCTTTTAATTAAACTATTTTATATAGTGTTCACAATCTCATAACTTTTATATAGAGTTGTTCCCTTTTGCAGCTCCAACTCTCTGATGGAGTAACACTTTCATTTATCAAATTAAACCTTGATACTCATAGGGTCCATTTGGTTACTTGAAATTTGAAAGCATGTTTTTAAAAGTGATAAAATTTATCGGTTTCATTATTTTGCTGGGTATAATTTTAAAGCTGTATAAACTTCTTAAAACTCTCTTAAGTATAATGATATTGATTTCAGGCACAAAATGGGTGAAATGAAATTAGCAGTTTTCAAAACATTTTATTTTCAAAACTATTTTTCTATTTATAGAAAACCAAAGGAGGCCTTACTGGAGATCAATGTTAAGTATTCAATTTTCCCCTTGCACAACTATATACAATTCTCCTAACAATAATTCCATTGGCATCACACTTCAAAAGGCCAACATCTATTATAATTCTTGTCCCGCTCAAGACACAAATTTCACATTTAATACATTTTGATCATTGCCATAGGATTGCACAATCAATTATTACAAAAACTTAAATTGATTAAGAAGGCATAGTAGAGACTTTATTGTCGAAGGTCCAACTATCCTTAGACCCATGGGTGTAGTAAACCCATTGTGCTCATGACTTAATCATTAGTAATGTTTGAATGCAAGCCCATAATTTAATTATTTATCATGGATTGTAAGAAACAAAATAATTATTATTTTGCTCTCTTGACCATCCTCGATCATTTTCTCTCCCATGGGCACTCATTTGTGTCACCATATGTTCAAACATGGGACTTGTTTTGATACCATTCGATGTAAGGCTACTTGACAATTAATGCAATTAACTATTTCAAAATCATGGGGTGATGTTGAATCTAATGCTTTATAGCCAAATTTCCAACTATGTCTAAATCCACGTGTGCGGGTAAACATGATAGGAAGTACTTGTAGATCACGAGTATTTCCTATCAATCTTAAAAAAAAAAAACAGCAAGAATTCTTCACAAAAATCCGCACAAAATCACAAAAATTATAGATAATTTGTATTACTTGATGAAAGCGAAACGAAAAATAGCAAGATATACTTGATCCTTTGTTTGAGAGGAGGATCGATCTCTCCCAAATCTCTAGACGCAGCTAGAGCCCAAAGGAAACCTAAAATCTAAGAGATCTCAAATTTCAGCCAAATTCAAGATGCCCTAACCCTAGCAAAACAAACTATTTAATGCATACAAATCAAAATGAAATCCCTAAGCAGTCCCTACATTCAAATTTCCCTCTTAATTCCCCCAAAAATCCTTTCAATTGGGCTCCCTGGGCGGTTTCGGATCGCGCGGCTCTTCCTGGAGGTGGAAGAGTTCCGCCTCAAGTCACGTAAGCCGGTCCCGTTGGATCGGCTAGACCGGTCCATTGGACCGGGTCTATCAAAACCATGCCTCCCATGATTCATTTATTAATTATGTTTGAATGCACGTATCTGAATTATTTGTCCATTGTGGATTGCAAGGGACAACAATTATTATCTTGTACTATTAACAGCCCGTTGTACTTCAAGCTTTTATTATGAATTATAAGAAAGATTGATGAATGAAATTTAGAATGCTTAACAATCCTTTAATGCTTGATGCACCACCTTTCTCCATCTTGTGAGTTCAATTTCTCCCCACTTCACTCGCGCTCACTGATTTCACCCTCTACATCTTGCTCTCTATTTACTTCAAGGATTGAATGATGATTGCCTGCCCTCACACAAAATTCTGCAATCCATTCCAAATTTTCTATCACTTTTGCAAAATCTTTATCATTTAACAATTTGTGTTGAACATCACAAATTTTCTATTTTAACCCTAAAGCTACATTATAAACAAACACAATTTTGGTAAAATATTTATAATATCCCTCCGAACATGCTACAAAATCACGTTAAATTAAGATATTCAACCTCAAAACCTCGTTTTAATCTTAAAACTAGTGCATTAATTTTTTTTAAGTGCTTTGCTCTTCATAATTTCAATTTCATACCAAACTATGAAATATTTTTGAAGTGACTATGAATGCTCATAACCTTGATTTCATATAAAATGGTCATTATTTAAAATAAAATTCCTTTATTTGTTAAATTTTACGTAAGGAATCTAACAATTGCGGAGTAATCCAAAGTTGAGTCCTATACATAAAATTGTATAAATATAGAGTTACAATTTATTAATCTATCGAAACAATTATTTAATCACAAATTATCCATAATCCAGGGCTTTATAAGAAACCTATTGGCATTATTGCTCCCTTTTTTTGCTCATCAAATATTGATCATTGGATTGATGCCCTTTTCAATGTTGAGAGGCCAATGCTGGATTTTTAATTTAGTTTGAATTAAATTGATGACCATTCCACTAAAATTCTATGGCGCCACAATTGCCAATTAAAATTTAGCTGCTTCTCTTGAGCAACTCCTTGCCCTATCTTTGATAGGGACTCCATGTAAAACCCTTCAGATTTTAAGATTTTTGGTGCAGGTTCGTCCAGTACGAACTGATTTAGTACGGGACGAACAATTGAAAATTTTCATTTCGTATGTTCGAACTGAACAAGTGCAAAACAGAGCCGTTTGTCCCGGTACGAATCAATTATCGTCCGTACAAATGTGGTCTGAATGTAGTCCAGAGCCGATCGTCCCGGTATGATCGTAAATTTTTGTCCATACGATCAAAAATATCTTTTAAATCCACCGTTTGACTCGTTTTGAAGAAAGAGAAAGATGAGACAGAAAGAGGAGAGAGAAAAGGAAAAAACTTGGTTTCATAGGCCGCGAAGCGATTTCCGTCTGTCGACGCATTTGGAAGAATTGCTCATCTCGCAGTAAGGAATCCATATCCTATTTCTGATTTCGAAGATTTCGTGTTTTGGTATTTTTTTGCTCAAATTTGTGTTTCCATTACCAAAAAATGTGCTTATCTTTGTATTGATGAAACTTTCATCGCTTAACTTTTTGGATGTTATAGAGAATGTGATTACGAGCATTTTGAGTATTTATTTGTGATTTTTCACCGGATGATTTTTGATTTACAACGACTTCTGTCTACTGTATGATATTTTAAGGGTTTTCTAAATTAAGCTAAATTATGTCTGTTTGATATAATGCATTGATGAGATGAAAAAATGTGGTTATATGATTGAAAGTACTATTATATTACTGTGATACGACTGTGTGTGTAAAGACAAGTAAAGATTGGTTGAACCATTGGTTGGAGACTGATTGACCTGTATAGGATGGTGGGCCGACGGGCTTTCCTTTAAGTATGGTTTGATGTTATCCTCTACTGATTCATGTGATACCGATTGAGAGTTATAAGGAGATGATTACTGTGCCGACTGGCAAAGAGTGAGGACTCTGTTTACTGAGCCAACATATAATGATACTGATATTGATACAAGACTGAAAAACTCCGTAATAGCCAGCGCTTCTACTTGTTTTATAGGATTACTGTACTGAAATGCATGTTTTGAAGCATTGTTCTTAGTATTGTACGGATTTATCATTACTGTACGGATTTACTGTTACTCCAATGTTATTGTATTACTGCTTATGTCACTGGATTGTTACTGATACTGAAACAGACACTGATACTATTTGATACTACTGATTCATTGTACTGACCTTATGCATGTGATACACTGATAAGTGATATAGAATAACTGGATATCACGTATAATTTCCGATATGAATTTATTGCATTGATTTAATTTTAATAATCATCACCGATGTATTGATTTGACGCTGTATACGATTTTATACTGTACTGATATTATGGATACAATGCCTACTTTTGATTTGACGATTACTGTAGAGATCTGACATACGTACTGGTTTATTGCTTTATGGACTTTTATAATGTTTACAGAATTTACTACTATCTTTGTGGATATTATTGTTTATGCACTGATTTCTGTTTCTGCATTGACTCAATGATCATGTGTAAGTGATTGTTATGATTTGACTGATTTACATGCATATTGCTTCTGTACCGTACTTTGATTTTAGTTGTAGGTTGGTGATCTGCTGGGCTTTTTAAGCTCATTATATGTGGTTAATGATTTCAGGTCAGGGCAAGGGAGCAGGAGTGTGAATTGATCAGGGTTCTTCAAGTTTTGTTCTTTTTTTTTTGATATAGTGATTCTTTTTGTACTCAGGACAGGATGGATATGTGATAATTGTGAAGATCCAGAGTATTGTAAATGACTTTTGGGAATGAATATAAATGTGTACATTGATGTTTTTAAATTATAGAATATGTTGGACTCTTATTTACTGATGGATGACATAGATAGCTCTGGTTGTTGATTATTAAACGATTAAATGAATAATTCTTCCAAATTAGATCCTCGGGGCATCACACTCGACCATCCATAATTGACATCAATGCGGTTTTTACATGCTTTGCTTGGCTATCTTATTTCGCAGTTGGTCTTGACTAGCAATTCCCTTGTTTTTTTAAGATGATGGTTGTAATGAATTCTTCTTTATTTTAATAATTTATGGATTAAATCTTTTCAATCATTTATAGAATATTAAGGTTGTAATTTTTTCTTAATTAAAAATTAAACGTGGAAGATACCCTTCGCTAATTTTGCTTAGATTTCCTTTAAATTTTGTCATTTTCATGAAATTTCACTTCTAATGACTCTCATCATCTTCTCTCAATCCCTGGACAGACATAATGATCTGGAAAAAATATTTGATACAATGGAAGTGTTGATGTTGTCTATTACATGATGATTTTGGTTAAAAAGATTTAATTCAATTTAAGTACATAACTTATCACCATTATGATTGTATCAACTTTATTCCTTAGTTGTATGTGGTTAAACATGAAGAGTGAGTATAAGAATGATGACCCTAGCATGAGCATAATTGGGTTTTAATCCTTTGTCTCCAATTCCAAGGGTTAAGTTTTCAGTTAGTTATCTACAGGTCATTCACCATTGATGTAGACAAAGGGGGGTGTCAACACTAGTCCAAAATAAATCAAATTTTGGCTTCCCTTGAGTCTAGTAGTTCATCATATTTGAGCTAAACTTTTAGTTCATTTATGAGCTGGACTTTAGTTCATTTATTGAACTAAGGGTTAGCTCATTATGAGCTAACATTTTAGTTCATTTATTATCTTTTAATTAAAGTAAGTGAATGATATTTGATTTATGGAAAAAAATCTGTTAACCTGCGGGTTGCTTGGAAATCCTGCGGGCTCTTTCCACCCTTCTTTCTCATCCCCTCCGGAAATCCTGCGGGCTCTTTCCAACCTTTCTTCTCGGGCTTCTAATCTCTTTCGTCTCTTCACAAGTGCCACTCCACCTGTATCCTTCTTCTCTAAGTGAAGCAACTTTAGGGTGTCGTCATTTTGTTTGCAAGAGTCGTTTGTATTGTTGTAAGTTTTCTTTTGTTTAGTTTAAGTTGAAATGTCAGAGTTTGTTCGTCCATTTTCTCGTCCTTAGTCATTTTCGTCCGTAGAAGTCCGTCGTGTCTTTTGTGATCAAGAGATATAGGCTCCCTGTATCTTTTGCCCGCATCAACCATGCAACAATTTCTTGGTATGGCCCTGCTTTGGACTCTTGAAGAACGAAAATAAAATTTTCCTATCTGTGTCATTGGTAATGACGCTTAACTCAGGGAAGTTGAGGCTATTGTTTTAAGTGATTAGTTTTCTTTTCTTAATTCTTAGTGATATTTTAAAGTGCATGCAGACTTTTTACTTCTTGCAGCTTAAGCAATTGTACTAAGATATTTCTTCTGTAGAGAAGATGGGAATCCCTTCTGACCCATGGGAGGAGAGTTGTTGTTGTTGGTGACCTTAACATAGCCCCTTCTGCTATAGATAGATGCGATGCAGAGCCAGAATTTGAGAAAAATGTGTAAGTCTTTGGAAATATATTTTTATTTAATTTGGAGAGTTTCTATATAGTGGCTAAACTCAACCTTGTGATAATTGATCCTTTCAATGTTGATTTTCCATCTCATTGTGTATACAAATGCGTTTTTATTGGTGACATTTTTTTGTAGCATTTCATGTTTATTAAGTATAAACTTAGTCATAATCATCATTTATCATCATAATCTTATTCTATGGTTGATTTTGTGAACCTTGCTGTCTCTATTCATTCCCATTGATAAGATGTTAATTGCTTAATGAAGTGCTAAATGTATTTGTGACTTTATGCATCTTTATTATTCTATATTCATTCCTATTAAGTGTTTGAGGAGATTTTTGGTGGTTGATAAGATGTTAAATATATTTGTTGATTTGTTTGCATAACTTATAGATATGTTATGTTTGGTCTAACCTTTTTTCTACTAATCCCTTTCTACCTTATTTGTGAATCTTTTGCCTCTCCTTTTATATGCCCAAATCACAAGTTCGTTATTCATACCTTATCTTTAATAGGTACTATTCTTATTGTCGTTATCATCCCTTTAATATAATCCTTTATTAGTATAGTTTTTATTGAGAAAAGGACCAAAATGGTCCTTCAACTCTTTGTGAGGGATCAAAATTGTCCTAAACTACTTAGAGGGATCAATTGGTCCCTCAACTCCTTCAAATGAGACTATTTTTGTCATGCCGTCAAATTTAAACGTAAAAGTGAGATGGGAAGGAAGGTATTATCGGAACAAGCAAAGAGTAAGCATGCAAACAAAAGAAAGAAGGCTACCTTCGCAACGAGCAAGCTCCTGTCGTCACTGTTACTTCCGATCACCTTTGATTTGGCCGAAGAAGTGCACGAATGAAAGAAAGATGGCTACCTTTGTAATGAGCAAGCTCCCGTTGCCGTCGTTCTTTTTGATAGCAATTGATTTGGCCGAAGAAGTGTGTGAACGGAAGAAAGAAGGCTACCTTCACAGCAAGCAAGCTCCTGTCGTCGTCACTTCCAATCGCAGTCGATTTGGCTGAAGAAGCGTGCGAATGGAAGCAAGATGGCTACCTTCGCAACGAGCAAGCTCCCATCGTCATCGTTACTTCTAATCGAATAAATGAATGACGAAGTGTGATTTCATATCTCACAGGAAGGAACACCGTCAAAGGAGGCGAAGAAGTTATTTAGCTAGTCGTTCAAAACTTTACCCGTCACGCGGAGGCGAAGTCGAAGAGCAACGAACAATGAAGATGGGTTAAAGAAATTATGTATAATTATTAAAACTAAAACTATGTATATTTTTTATTAAATAAAAGTTTAATATTTTTTTTTTACAAAAATTATAATATCTAAAAAATTGCATTTATTAAATATTTTAATTAAGAAAGACTAAATTACCCCATATTTAATACCATCAACTCTACCATTAGATGACAGGACAATTAAAGTTCCGTTTGGAGGAGTTGAGAGATCAAATTGGTCCCTCAAAATAGTTAGGGACTATTTTGATCCATCAGAAAGAATTGGGGGACCATTTTGATTCTTTTCATTTTTTATTTTAAATTTATCACATATTTATCTTGACGTTATTATTATTTCCGCACTTAATTTGTTAATTTTGTTTATTATAATTTTTTATCGATTGAGACTCCAATCTGCATAACATAACTAAGTTAATTATAATTTTATAAAATTTATCTTTAAAACTTTGTAATATTCTTTATCATATAGTTTTCATGTCATAAGACACTTATTCATTTTTTATCAACTAACACAAGTTATGTCACAAATTATATCCTTTTTATTATGTATAATAAATTTAAGTTACTTGAACTACCACATTTTGTATTTTATAATATTGATTTATAATTATTAGTTTCTTTTCCCTTAAAATTGCATCTCATTATATTAATCTAAATTGTATTAATTTTAAATCCCTTATCTTCACAAAATTTTTTAAACCATGGCCTACTTATTATTATAATCTGGTTAAGTTTTGATGTCATTTTTTGGTAGCGCCTTAGCAAATTTTTGCCTACTTCTCACCCCGTTGGGGTTATGTTGTGGAGCTTGACTTCTGAGAAATGCTCTAGCTCTAGTACCATTTCTAAATATCAGCTTCTGCTTTATTTTTCGGACCCTGGGTTAAATTTAATGATTGGTTGTTGACTTGGCATAAACTGATGGAGTTGCAATATGAGACTTTCATTTGCCTTTATGAACATATGCATTTCTTGGGGAGGATGGGTATAAAACCTAACGGGCAGAAGAAAAAGAGTAGGAAATAATACACAAACCAAATGGAGAGGCAAAGAGTAAGAGGCTTGGCTGGCCCAAGCAATAAGAGAGGGAAGAGTTATAATGTTTGTATTCAAATTTTCTTTCTGTTACAATAGTCCCCTTTATATATAGTGGAAATGAGGGAGGTTTCTTTCACATGTTCTAAAATTCCTTATGTTTCTTATATGTTTAATGACATTTAAATGCAAAAAATAAAATAAAAAAAGACAAAAAATACAAGCTTAATGATATTTTCTGCACTCCAATATGATCAAAGAGTTTGGTTTAGAACCAGGTTGGATATTAGTGTTGACAGATCCCCTTGCAAATATATATTGCACAATCTATACTGCATTAGCTCTATTCAGATCGAAATAAACTTTTATTCAAAGAGCTGAAAGGCAGACACCATGGTGGTGTTGAGGTGATGTATTTAGCACATGGGCATGTCATAGGGCAACGATAGATATAAATTGTACAACCATTGAGTATTGCTCCGGTTCAACATCTATCTGGTGGTGACTGCTGCCTCATGTGGCCTACAACAACTGTGGCTTTGTTACTTTGTGATCGCCTCAATTACAAGGCTGGTGTTATTGCACATCCAGTGACTTAGGCTTCGTTTGAGACGACTTTTTTCTTGCTTTTTAAAATAACTTTCTAGCACAAAAATTTCTTGAATTTGAAAATTTTGTATTAAAAATCCGTTTAAAAAAGCAGTACGAAAGCTTCCCCAAACGAAGCCTTATGCTATTACAAAAGGGAACCAAAAAAGTTCAACTTGAACAAACTAAAATTCTGGGGTTCTAATTAGACCATCCCATCCAGGTTGAATCAAAGCCAATCATAGTTATCCAATCCCTTGCCATATGATACATGTAAATGATCAAATTAAAATTGCATTGATCATGAGAATGAGATTGCAATATCATGTGACCTAATCGAAATGGATAAAGAATCGTCCATTCAGTGGGTGCTCATCAGAGTGATGTGGTACACATTGTAACCCTCAAATCATTAAGGAATATCTGATATACTAGAAATGTGCCAGCCTGCATTGATAAAAATTAGCCATCCATGTCTAACATAGTTGAGATGTTGCTATTGCATCCCTAGATCAACATATTTTAAATGCCAAGACTTATTTTGATGAGGACATCCGTCATTGGAAAGTCTATCAGAGATGTGGTCGTTGATCTACCACTACGATCGTGCCGCTTTACCTTTGATGTTCATTTTTATTATTGATGTATTAGTTTTATTTATGAATTTTATTATGTCTTTTCCACTTTTGCCCTTACTTAAGGGTTTAGACATGTGTAAGCTCTAGGGGCATATTGGTACTTTTATTTGTCATTTTGTATTGGCTATTTAAAGCCATCCCCCCCCCCCTTTTGAGGGTTAATGAAGAATTATTACTGAAATTTCTGCTTTGTGTTCTTGAGAGAGCTTGTGAAAGTTTAGAGAGGTGGCGCCTAGGAGAGGCCCAACGGAGTACCAAACAGCCACCATCGGTGAGCTCTTGGCTTTTCCCTATTTTCTTGTTTCTTCCCCTCCTCCCTTCACCACCGGCCAAAATCTTCCCTAACAGCCGACCCTAACCCCCCTCCGCCGCCGGCCTATTCTTCCACCAAAGCCGTCGGCCAAGCCCACCCACCTCCCTTTGTTTCTCTAGATCCACCCTCCTCCACCACCATAAGGCGCCGGCTCCACCCAAGTCCAATCCGCCGGTGATGGGGACATCGAAGCTTGGAAAGTCTATTAGAAACGTGGCCGTCGATCTACGGCCACGATCGAGTCGATGTATTTTTGAGTCATATTATTTATTTAATTTTTATTATTTTATATTTGTAGTTACTTTTGTTATTTTCCACTTTTACCCTTTATTAAATGGAGGTCATGTGTAAGCCCAAAGGGCATTGTTGTCTTTTACTTTTGGGTCCTTTGTACGAAGGCTATTTATAGCCCTTAGGTTTCTCTTCTAATGCTTAATGATGAATGATAAAATTTTTCCCTTGCTTGATTTCTTTGGAGATCTTGAGAGTGCTTGAGAGAGAAATTCCTAGAAGAAGGAAATCAGATCTCCCACCAACTTTGGAGACGGCCGGGTTCATTGTTCTTCTTCACTATCTCTTTGTCTTCCTTCTTTCATCCCCTAGCCGCCAGCCTAAGACCTTCCCGAACCCCTAAACCGCCGACCATTTAAATCCTCACCACCACCCGCCACCTATACCCAACCCCACCCCCCATCCACGGCCAACCTCCACCGCCGGCCCACCCTTTGACTTCTTTTCCCCATCTCCACTTGCCACCAAGTCTTTTCTAAATTAGATTTCATAATTTTGGTAACTCCATTAATGATCAAATTCAAATTAATTTGAATTTAAAACAGTTACCTAATTTACAAATCCTATTTTAGGAAACTTACTAAATGAAATCCTATTTAAATTTTGAAATAAGACGGGATGAGATTTTTCTTTCCAAACTTAATTTAATAATTTAAGTAAGCATTAAACTTTGATTCGTTGCAAAGGAGAGACCTCTACCACCCCCGCATGGATCTTGTCTATGTTTCGTAGTGGGCTGCAAGAGGATCTTTGCAACGAGCTGTTTGCCCGGAATGTCACTACTCTTGAGAACGCCTACAGCCTAGTGCTAGATTTGGAGGAGACCCGTTCCTAGCAGGCTAGCACCCGAGTCGATCCCATGACTCTAGGCCTTCTTATAGACCGTCCGTAGTTCCACTCCATGGAGCACTACCCGACCACCCACTGGTCCTCTTGCACCTCGATTTGATTTTAGGAGTAAACCTCCCACCCCGGAATACATTCCATATTAGGCCTCTTGCATTTTTGGAAAGAATTTGAATTCAAATTCAAAATAATTTGAATTTCAAAAGCTTTCCAATTAAATCTAATCCATTTAGGAAAGAAATCCAATCATCTCAAATCTGAGATTAAATCTCAGATTTAATTCTTAATTACAATTAATGTCGGGGTTCACATTCAATGAATGTAGACACAATCTCCCCACCCTCTCTCCTATTCATCTCTCTCCAATTTGATTTGGGATTTAATTAAACTTGCCAACTAGGCTAGTAAATCAATCCCAAAATTATTTCCCGTTGCTATTCACAAATCCTCTTACAATATTTTCTGAGTTTCCTGCATCTAGAGATCTGGACGTCTGAAAATTTTTCCCCTCCAAACTACTGTTCAGACTTCTGGACAAATCCTGTACGCTGTCCAGGGATCCTCTAGCCTTACGAGTTATGAGTTCCTGTCCAGGGCTCCTAAGACCCAAAACCTGCTGTCCAGACTTCCGTGGGTGTTGTCCAAAGATTTTGGCTTGTTATCTAGAACATTTCAGCAAAATATTGTGTTGTCCAGCCCACCAGAGAGGGGCCGTTTGCTATCCAACGGCAGTCGGGAGGTCCGTGTCACTTTCCCATTGGATTATATCTTGATTCATGAAGATCATGCTAATTTTCTCTCCGCTAAAACTTAGTAAATTAGAGAGTTGAGTGAGTGGATTCCCTTAGTGACTAAACTTAATGTTAATCTAGGGATGTCTTGTTGAAAATCTCACCGTACGCTATGTTTTGAACTATTGATTGTTCATTTGTTTGAGATCTTTACTTTGTCACGACCCGGCCTGGTTAGCTCGCAAGTGCGAGGCGGGAACAGAGGTCGGACGTAAAAGTTAAAAGAAACTTAACATAACATCAATTGAAACATCAACAATATAGAAAGAGCCACTACAATTTTTCCAAGATTAACCTTTTCTTTTTTCTTTCATTCATTAATCAAAATAATTATGTACAAAGAGAGTCATCCAAAATGGGAATCTAAACAATAGTACATCCTACATATGAGGCCTCTAGGTCAGTTTGATTTATTCTACTTATTTTTCATTTTTGAGTTTCTTGGAGTTCTTATCCAAGAGGAGCAGAAGCTTAAACGAGCCCAGTTCTAAGAGATCTAGAATAAATCCTTTAGAATTAAACTAAGCTGGATAGATTTACTCCTTTCCTTTGAAATGCTAAGATAAGCTTTGAAGTCTCCATCGGGAACTGCAGCCTGGGTATGGCATCGTTGCTTGGTCTGTATGTCATACTCTGCCGACATTGAATGCTAATCTGAATAGTCAACAAATATATATCTTTTGAATTTGACATTTAAAGGCTTGATATTGTTGTTGAATTTGACATTTAATATGTTGTAGATATCTTATCGTAAATCATACGAAATATTGTTTTTATATTTTAGTTCTGATGGCTTAAGAGTCAGTTGGAATATTTCTTATTATCTTAGTTGCGCTATTTTCTTTTTAAAGCTTTTATTATTGTGCCTCGTTTGCTGAATTTATATTGCGTTTTTAACATTTTGTAGGTTCAGGACATGGTTAAGGTCCATGCTAAGAGAATGTGGCGGCCCTTTTGTTGATGTTTTCAGATCAAAGCACCCTTGCAGGTTGAGTCTTATATACCGAAGCAATTTATTTCAAGCCAGCTTAAAATTTAGCCATCCCAATCTTATGTTATTTGTACTTTTAAATGCTGAAGATATAAATCTTCAGCACCGTTGCATTTTTCTCACTTAGAATGGAGAAAGTGGCGTAAGAGTGCATATTAAAAGAGAACGTAGACAAAACTATGATCATGCAAGGAACGGAAAAACTAGCAAAAGAGAATAACGGATCACCAGTAGCTAAAAGCAGCAATATATATGAAAAAGCATGGAAGGAGAACTTAAATACTTAATCATGCTCAAAATGGATAGCAATTGAATTTAGTCATACAGAGAATGTTAGCTTTTGTGCAAGTAACAATATAATGAGGCATTTATGCATGGATGTTAAATGGGAAGAGAAGAAAGTTGTGTGTCATGTCCCAAGATTTAAATTAAAATAATTATTTATTTTATCTTTTAGCCTATCAACCAAAACTTCTACGAGTCATCAATTTAAATCAATATATCAAAGCTGTATATCATATGCATCAAAATATAAATCTATCTTCATTTCTCAAAATCGTATTTATAATATAGCTAAGAGATCATTACAATCAATAATTTATCTCAAGTTCCTGACTACAAAAATGATAAATATGCATAACAAAATGAGAAACCTAAAGTTCTCAATCAACCTCACTCCACAGAATCCTAATCCCTTCTTTGACTTGAAATTAATAAAATTATATAATAAGCTTATAAAGCTCAATGAAAATCCAAAACTCACCAAAGATTTCAATGCAAGATTCAAGAATCAATATGCATGCTCAACTCAATCAATAGAATCAATAACTTTCAATATGATAAATGATTAATATCATTAGTACAAATCAATATAACTAGTAACGAAAAACAAGAATTATTATACTGAAATTCATAAATCAACATGCATGAAAATGTAAATGCATCAATAATCAATAAATCAACATTGTAGGGATAACACATCAGTACTGTAATCATCCAATATTATCAGTCTATTAATGATGTGAATCATGAACATGCAGGAGTCATATCAGTATGCTATGTATTGGTAGTGTTGATATATGCCTGGTATAACCTATAATCTATAAAACTATATATGCATGAACATGAATAAGAACATGAATATGAAATGCACGAATCCATTATCTGCTATCAATATCATATAGTTTAGCAAGACATGTCTTCCAACTTTAATATAATATTTTCAATATCTTTAATCCCAACTTTTTACCAATTGGCCGTCAATCATATCTATCACACTTATCATTTATTCAATAAATTCATTGTCATTACAGTTAGTTTTTAATAATCTATAAAGAGCCAACACTCTCTACCCATCGGTGTAATTCAATCATCAGTTACAAGCTACAATCAGGATCACACCACAAATCTTTTTATTTTAAGGAAAGTCCCTCGGCCCACCCTCCTTCCAGTTTATTATGTTTTAAGAGCTAGCCCGTATTAATTATAGTGTTAACAACCAGTCTCCCTTGCTTACATACAAATGCTACATTTATCTTGAATCAATGGTATTAGTTTTTCTTTAATATATGAAAAGCAATATGAAATGCAATAATCTAGAAAATACAGGAAAATTTGTATATTAGACTACAATTTCAGAAAATCATAACTTTTATTTTAGAAAATAAAATTAAATAATATTATAATCAAAATGTCCATATCAATCATATTTATCATATACAAAAAATTGCACGATAGAAGTGCAGAAAATCAGGATAATTTTTTTTTCTTTTTGGGGAAAATTATATCAGTAGATTTGAAATCATTGAAAATAAAAGTGTGTTTTAGGTTACTATAATCAAAAGATTTTTCCCAACTAAAACAATGTAAAAAAATGATCAAAACCCAATTTTATCTCTCTTCACTCTCTCCTCTTCCTCTCCCTTTCCTTTTCTTCTACCACGACAAGTTGCATGAATGGGAGGGGGAGGAATGGCTTATTGATTTAGGTTTAGGATTTAATATATAGAAAACACTGTTTGTGGCCAAGTGTCGCGACGCTCAAACATCGTAGTGCTGCTCTGCCGCATGCTAGTTAAAGGAGCCACCACGTTCGAATCCCAGCGCTGCCGCGCTAAATTAATTTTAAATTTTTCTGAGACTAGTGTGTTGGAGCATCGAAATACCCAGTCCATTTTACTTAGTGCGCATGCATAATATATTTGTATGTTTGTTTAGTATGCATGCATGCTATCTTTTGCTTGATTGTTGGTTCATTTGCAAGATACATTTGTATGATCAATGGTATGCATATATATTATATAGTGCGACCATATGATTGGTAGTATACATACATGTCACTTGATCTATCTATATAATACATTATAATGTTTTTGGTACACTCATTATACAATATGAAGACTCGCAGGCTACGCCCTCTTTCGGTGATTTGGCGCGTCACACACACTTTAACAAGGGGTCGTACAACTCATGACACATAAGAGTGCTTTATTTTGTTTCTTTTCAAAGTCAAATTTTCACAGGGTGTACGACATTCACAGGGTGCATACGAGTCTCTTAACTTTAACAATTGTCGTGCACGCTACCTAAGGCACTTGTGCACGCATGACTTCTTCCCTTGTTATTTTGTGCTTTGAGTTTGGCTCAGTTGGTCCCACAAGGGGATCATCTTTCTAGGTTATAAATAGGAAACCCGACATTTCTTTGCACATTTCAGCTTATAGAGCGTGTGTTGCTAAGGGATTTGAGTGTGTACGAGTTAAGAGCTAAGAGTGAAAAGTCTAGTTTTGCTTGTTTTGGTTGATGAGCAACCAAAATTGTTTGTATAAGTTCATTGTAAATCCCATTTTGATGCACTTTAGTTTTCATTCATTTTTTACTTGTCAACATTTACATATTATTTTTTCTAACATGTTTTATTTTTTGTTGACTTAGGAGCTAGATTAGGTTTTAGCCTCTTTAAATTTTGTTTAAGTTAGTTTATTATAAATTACAACAGCACCCCAGCGTCGTCTCCGCATAGGGGGCTGCATCGGGTCCACCTATTAATAAAACAACTACGGTAAGTGTCAGGTGATACTGCGATCGAAATTTCATTCACTGCTCGCTAATAATTGAGTAATCTAATTTAGCTTAACTAATTGATTAGTAGTATAATTGGTCATTTAATTAGTTTAATTTATATAATTTAAAATAAAAATAGTTAATTATATACTTAATATTGTAAATGACAAGTAAACAATTAATTAGTAGTTGAATATTTAAGTGATCAACAAGATAATTAGCAATATAATTAATAATTAAACTAATTATTAATATGAGTATTAGTTTAATAATTTCTAATTTCAACACTAATTAACAAATTTATTAGGGTTCAAAAATATAATTAGATAATGAGTAATATAATAAGTAATTTGATTATTAACACCTAAATAACTAATTTGATAATTTGTAATAATTAAATTAGCTCCTAGTTATATTATTTATCATTTCAACTTATTAATGATAATTAAAATTAAAGTTAATAAGTAATTCACACTTAATATGTAAATTAAATTCAAAATACATTAAATTTAATTTATAAATGAACCAACCGCCTTAAATCCTTAAATCCTCGATTATTTTACCAAATAGTTTCTCATGATTTATCAAGATTTAATATGCCTTACCAAACAATTTTTAGGATTTAACACCCTCAAGATTAGTGGGATTTAGACTAAAGTTAAATCCTATTTGTTGCCAAACAACCCCTTAATGTAAAAAAAAAATTAACATGTCAAATAAGAACCAACATCTAATACTCTCAAATCAAATTATTACTACTAAAATAAAGTATCACAAGACTTACCAACTAGCCATCATTGAAAGTGCTCACTCATGATCCAGAGGATAATTAATCGTATGGCTTGCATTTATGAGTAACTTTTAAACTAAATCATGAAGTTCTTGTTAGAGGGCAATATCTCTAGGTAGTTTTACCAATATGACTTCTAAAAAATTAACCTGTAACTACTTTAATATCAACAAAGCTAGAGCAAGGATATTCGGAATCTACTGTTGATTATTTTGTACATTTAAGTCGGATAGTTAGTACTCTATGTTAGTATTACTGTTGTGAAGTTGCCCTGATTTGTGTTTCTATTTTGCTGCTGCAGAGAAGGAGCGTACACCTGTTTTTCTCCATGTATTGGTGCTGAAGAATTCAACTATGGTTCACGAATTGACCATATTCTTACTGCTGGGCCTTGTCTACATGAAAATCATGTCTCAGAGAAGCTTAGCTTATTTGATTGCCATGTTGGTGAAAGTGACATTATGATTCAATTCCTACGGGGAAACTTTGATGGAAGACCCAAGTAATAATACATACCAGGTGAAATTCTTGCTCTTACGTTCTGAATGTGATTTACAACGGTTGGATTTGCAGGTGGCTAGGGGGAAGGAGCATAAAATTGGAAGGTTCAGATCATGTCCCTGTGTACATTATCTTAAATGACATACCTAATCTTCTTGAGCATAGCACTCCACCTTTAGCTGTGAGATATATTCCAGAGGTCCGTGGTTGGCAACAAACTATTGGTAAGAACTTTTTCAGTATCCATGTTGGAAAAAATATTTCTTTTTTGTCAAATTTCTAGATTTATGTCAATCTATCTATCTGTTCATAGTGATTGTTGTATGTGAACCTAAATATCATGAAAAAATGGTTTAGGGCAAGTAATCTAACCATTATTTTTCAGATGTCAATTTATATATTATTTTTTGTTTATTTTGTTTAATTAAAATGCATAATAATAACATAAACAAACTTGTATGGCTGTTGTGGAAGTTGTACTGCCAGATTGCACCGCTATTTCTGATTCCAATTCATATCTGTTATAGCTAAGCTTAAGATGGCGATATTCGTTAATTCTATATGTTAATACTTGAGCGTATTCTTGTAGTTTTTGTTGTTTTCCCATTCAGGAACTTTGTGTTTTGATTTTATTATACTTATTAATATACTTCAACATTACCATCGATCAAAGATGCTTTCTGCTTGCAAAACTACAATTCTGAATCTTTTTCCCTTCTTTCATACTATAGCAGCTTACAATTGCATTGTTATGCTCCTGAAATTAGTGATAAACAATGGATTTGTACAGTTCCATTCTTGAGGAAAAGGCAGCTTCCTGATGCCAACGAGCATTCTGTTCTGCCGGAGATTCTAATTGATGATAATGTTGCGTCAGAAAATGGTTGTGAAGGTTCAGTTGAAAGCCTGGACAATAGAATGTCTTTGAAGTGTGGGAAACTATCAATTTCGACCCGCTTTTCTTTAGACCAAGATCACAAAATCAGTGAAGACATCAGTACTGAATGTAGCAAGCCTAGTGCTTCTGCATTGGATCTGAAGAGAAATACTTTTTTACATAAAATTAAAGTACCAGTGAAAAAGGTTAAGTGTACTGCATATTCTCAGCTTACTTTGCGTTCATATTTCAAGAAATCAAAGCCTAACTCTGATTGTGACGTAGAAAAAACAAACGCTGATGAATTGCTTGATCTATATGATAATGGAAAGAATAGTGATAATCTTCTCTGTGGAACAGACCTAATAGCTGCTAAAAGTTCTTTGTCTGATCTTGAAGACCAATGTGGGGTTGAGATTTCCTGCAAGAGCCTTTATCCTCAAGATCAGGCTGATACGTGCTCTTCTTCTTGCTCAAAAACTGAAAACAGAAATATGGCATTGTTGGAGTGGCAAAGAATTCAACAGAAAATGAGGATGACCATACCGCTTTGCAAGGGCCATGGTGAACCCTGTGTGGCAAGGTCTGTGAAGAAAGGTGGTCCAAATGTCGGGCGGAGATTCTACGTATGTGCACGTGCCCAGGTAAAAGATATTCTAACCTCTTTTTCAGTCATTTAATGCTAAGTAGCGTGTACTGAATGATTAGTTCCTATAAAATTACGAGGCTTTTTAGATTTTCTCCTTTTTCTTCATTTAAACCAGGAGAAATAAATTTAGAATTATAAGCTTTAAAATAATAGGCCCTCTATTCAGCAAACTTTACAATACGTGGAAGTTTAGGGTTTAGGAAAAAATGAAATTTGGTCCTTTATGTTACTTTCTGGTGTTTCGGATCCTCAAATTTTGAAATGCGCAATTTCAGACCCATCTTGTTGTTTCTTATTAAATGATATTGGTATGATTTCATTCTGTTTCTCTTGCCGTGCTTACGGTTGGTAGGGGTGAAAACGTAAGGAGCCTGCTCCCTGAAGCTTTGTTGTTAATTAGGCAGATTAATGAATATCTTCTTGAAAACCAACTTTTCTTAGACCATTTTAATGTTAGAATATTGATGGAGTCCACATTCAAAGGAGGGGAAAAGCCCCTGCTCTCTGAAGCTTTATAGCATTGAATTATGAAGATTAATGAATATCTACTTGAAGGACTGCTTAATCAGAATTTGTTTATGTTTGAATATTGACTGTCCATATTTTTGCTAGGTAGGGAGGGAGGTAGATTATGATTTCGTTTGAGACAGCTTTCTTATTGCTGCTTAAAGCAGATTTCTTGTATAAAAATTAAAATTTTGTACTAGAAAGCTGGTTTAAGAATAAGCAGTAAGAAAGCCTTCCTAAACAAAACCTAAATATTTGTTTGAGCTAAATTTATCAGAGCATTTTCATATTAGAACATTGGTGGAGTCCATATTCTAGAAAAGTTGAGATGTCCTCTACATTTTGTTGATGTTCTTGTGATACTGATAATAAACTAAAAAATGGGCCGAATAGGTTCTATTCTACATCACATTTTGTTGATGTTCTTGCCTTTTTCTTTGCAGCTTTATGCATCGTGACTTCTACAATCTGCAACTCTACTTCTTGTATCACAACCTTTAGATAATTATCTAGCTTGACACCTCTGATACCTTGATATGCGATTAAATTTAAGCTTTGTTTTGGACGGCTTTATTACTGCTTCTTAAAGCAGCTTTCTAGTATAAAAATTAATTTTTTTGCATTAAAAAGCTGCTTTAAGAAGCAAAAAAAAAAAAGCCATCAAAAAAAAAAAAAAAAAAAAGCCATCCCAAACGAAACCTTAATAAGTGATCAACCAAATCATCTATGGTCACGAGTTTATATTAGTGCTGTAGCCTGTAGGATTAATTGCTGCATTTGGCTGGTAATGCCGTAGACTTGCTGTGGGCTGTGGTTTGCTATGTTGGCTTGCTGTCCCAGCATTGGATCAATCCCAAAATGGCGAACCTGAATGTCGTTACAGCAAAATGAAAGCAGAGAACAGCACTTTCTTGTTGTCTAGAGAAAAAAGCAATAGCTTCTGTTCTCTGAAGCTTTATAGCATACAGGCTTAAGCTATACGACTAATATTATTATTAATTGATATATGAAAATTAAGGTTTCGTTTGGGACAGCTTTCTTACTACTTCTTAAAGCAACTAGAAAGCTGTTTTAAGAAGCAATAAGAAAGCCGTCTCAAACGGAGCCTAAATCTTTGACTCACTACAAAGCAATAGAGCAAGAGTTGCTAGAATAGCTGTCTCTATCATTCTAAATTTTTACAAAAGCTGTTCTTGTGAAGTTATTCATTCCATTGATGATGCTTGAAGTGCTAATCTTATTGTCCTTTACTCTTTTGTAGGGTCCTGCAGCTAATCCAGAAGCAAACTGTGGTCACTTTGAATGGGCTAGTAAAAGGTCTGAATGTAGGAATTGATGTGATAATTCTATGGAAATTTTATCCCTTCATGGTATGTATAGCTACCTATTCAAGGCCTTTAATGTCCTTTTTGGCTTTGCCGGCCTGATGATGGTTAGAGGATTCATTATGAAATACATTGTGTTATATGTTTAATCTCCATTCGAAATTATAGCTCCTTGATCTTGTACTAAATTTTCCTTCAATCTCTAATTCTAACTCTTGAGCAGGTAAAACTTTAGCTCAATGACCATGATTTATTATGGATGTCGATGCAGATTCAGGTTCGGACTTCATTTGGTATGACTTTCTTATTATTTCTTAAAGTCGTTTTCCAGTACAAAAATTAAAACTGCTTTAAAAAACAATAAGAAAGTTGTCCCAAATGAAGTCTTAGTATTATGAGAAGTAAAATTATATTGTAACTTATTATCATATTCTTTATCTAAAATGTCCTATAATGAATATTAATCAACTACCATAGATTCTATAGGAACAATTTCAATTATATATAAATCTTGGGTTAGACTAATTCTTATAGGCCTTAAATGAGATGCTAATGAGCTTTCTTTAGGAATTGGCGCATGCTAATATGCTCATTTTTTTTTTTAATTTGTAGTTGGCAAATCCTACTTAATATGAGACACTTTATATATTTCCCAATTATCAGAATTTTTAAAATTAAATCAATTTTTATAACAAAGCTTCTTATTTTTAATTTTTTCTTGCACATTAGGATTCCACCACCAACTATTTTTATTAAATAATAGTTATGGGATTAATAAAATTTTCAATATATTTTTAATGCAACATATAACATGACTATCAAATCATAATATAATAATAGGTATATCAATGTAATGAGTACATTGCATTCCATTTATGACAAATATTTAACATAATTTTTAAGTATTTTAATTATTGTTTTTCATGCAAAATAAACAAATTATTATTAAATTTATGAATTTTAATGTTTTTAATTGTTTTTAAAATATTATTGGCTTAACTGTAAAGAAGAATGCAAGAAAAAAAAGGATGAAATTTTGAGTTAATAGATGAAATTTTCACAAATAAGTGGTTAGAACATATGCCACATGTTTTTATTAATAATTAATTTATACAATAAGGTATTTATTATATAAATATAGGAAGCAAGTATTCAACATATAAGACAAATAATCAACTATGCTTGTTATATAAATATGATCATAGTACATTTTTTTTTCCATAGTGATGAGCAAGAAATTGTAAAGCATGTGATTTGAACCTTAGGTTCTGGAGAAATAACCTTCTTTAGCAATGAGCCATGATTATTTTCAGTGCAATTTTAACAAATAATGCGTAATAACAAAATTTCTCAACTAACTATATAAAATTAAGGAAATATGACACTAAATAAAATATATATGTTACTCGGTTTCAGAAGATTAAAGATTGTATATCTTAAGCATCTCCAGTTTAGGGTTTACGGTTCGTTTGTGACGACTTTCTTACTGCTTCAGTCAAGTAGGCAACTCATCATGCAATGTGCCAAAGCACAAAAGTTGCTGAAGAACTCTCAAACTATTTTGAACATGCGGAAAGTGCGCAACAAATCACTTCATCAATCTATGACTTAGGCTTCATTTGAGACATCTTTGTTACAGTTTCTTAAAACAATTTTTTAATACAAAATTTTTCATTTTTGTACTAAAAAATTGTTTAAGGCAAAAGAAATAACATTACATAGTTGGAGGCATAGGAATTTCAAAAAAAAAAAATTGATATTCTAAGTATATAAAAATATTATTATTAATTAATTCACAAGAAAAATTCTCATCTTAAAAAAGACATGCTACTAACATTCCATACATTAATATAAAACATATAATCAAACATATATGTCTTAAATAATCTTACAATACACTTTCAATACACAACATGCATTAAAAAAAATGGGAGATTTACATACATATCACTTTATATCATCTTATTTACATATCTAATACTTAAAATTTTAATATTTCATGTATATCACCCATAAATAACTTTAATATCAAATATATCACTCTTATACTGCATTCCTACCACACATGCTACCCTAAAAATTTTAACGTTTCATTCCTTATATTTGATTTATGGGTGGCAGACATGAAATATTAATATTTAAGGTGTTAGATATATAAATAGTATGATATAAAGTGATATGAATGTAAATCTTCCAAAAAAACCCCTCTTAACTCCTTATTTATCATCATTAAAGACAAAATTCACAATAATTATAGCCTCTCCAAACCTTTTTTTTTTATTTTTGGGCACCCTAAAATTAAAAGAAAAGCAAGTACTAAGTACTAAGACCTCTCAAGCCTTCCCTTCCATCCTAGCAAGAGTAAGACCAGCGCAAGCATCAACAAAATCCCCATCAATGAAATCAGTAGAATATACCTGCAACCGATCCCCAAATCCACGAGCAAAAGCCTGCGAAATGAAAAGCCGAGCATAGGGTTGAATCCTACCGGTAACCGGCCGTACACACAGCACCGGATTATCGGCCTGCGGCGTCACGGTGTTCTCCACTCGGTAAAAATACTTCCTCGCGGTCACCGCCGGTTGATCCGCCAGATGCTTCATATTACTCTCAAACTTGGTATTAGGCAAATCCGTATCGATCCAGTTGTCACGAAGATACCCGGCGCTCCACAAGGGCCCGCCGGACGGCGGATGCGGCGCCTTTCTGGGCTTCCAGATACAGATGATCTGTTTGGGAAGGATCTCGGCGACGGTGCGGGAGAAGACGGCTTCGTCATGGTGGATCAGGCGGTCGCCGAGCCGATCGATTAGGAAAGAATCGAAGCCGGGTGGGTCTTCGTAGCCGTACTCGGTTCGGATCTCGAGAATGATGATTTCAGAAGGGGAGTCGGAGAGGAATTTGATGATCTGGTCGAGGGCGTGGTCGATTGGGTAAGTGGTGAGAACGCCGTGGCACACGCGGCGGTCCTGTTGAATGCGGATGTCGATTAAACGAGCGCCGATGGAGAGTTGGCCGTAGATGGAGAGGGATTGACATTGAGCGAAGGGGCGGGAGATGAAGGGGAAGCCGATGCAGTCGGTGGCGGAGTCGTGGGTGCCGGGCCAGACTATTTGGGAGAGGCGGAGTTTTTCGAGATCGCCGAGTTGGGAGATCCAGTTGGTGCGGTTGGGTGGGTGGTAGTCGGAGCCGGGGAAGAGATCGCCGGAGGCGGAGAGTAGGTCGGCTAGAGCTTTTTTCTCGGCAGCAATGGCTTTCCGGCGTTCGATTTGCTTGGAGAATTGGGAGCCCATCGTAGTTAGCTGGAGAGCTGGGCGAGCTGGGCGAGGAAGGGGAAGGTGGCAGCTTCAATTATTGTAACGTGCAATAGACGGGTTCAAAAAATTTATTGACTTTTTTTTATGTTTTTGGTTGTTGTAGGTATAGGTTTAGGCTCTCTTTAGGATGGTGTTTTTAATTTTTTTTTAGCAATTTTCTATATAAAATTTGTAGTTCAAAATACTTTGTATTAAAATATTATTTTAAAAAATTAATAAGAAAGATGTCCCAAATAAAGCTTTAATTTGGGATAATTTTATTTTATGTTTTCTAAAGTTGTTTTTAGTACAAATTTTTAGCTATAGAAATTTTTAGTTATAAAAAACTGATTTAGAAAGTAGAAAAAAAAAAATAGTCTCAAATGAAGTCATAGACTTTGTTGGAATAATTTTTTCAATGTTTTGTTTTTTAATTATAATCATAATTTTTATTTGATCATTAATATTTCTCTGCTATCAATAATTTTTTTTCTAGTAAATTGTTTTTTAAAGATTTTTTAAGAAAATTATTTTCTTCCTAGTATCTTTAGGATCATCTTTGTAAAAAGTAGTCTTCAGTTTAATACATACAATAAAATTTTATATTTATTTATATATCATTTAAATATTTAAATTATATAAAAATATAATTTAAATAAGTTAATATTGATGATATTTTTATTATGATTTAAAAATTTTAGTATTATATAAGAATTTCTATATTAAATATATAAATTAACAAGTTTTTTTAATGGATATTGATACATCATCAAAATTGTCTTGATCAGACACGAATCTTAGGGCATATATATTCAAGTATAAAACTTCTAAAATTAAATTTGGGACCATCCAAACTCCAATTTGAGCGAACTTACCGTCAAACTGAACGTTTCGACAAGGCAAATCAAATGATATCAAAACGAGTTCAATTCGAGCCCAAATGGGCCTAGATCAATAGCTTGAAGCATATTTGAAAGCTTCAAAATATTAATGGGGGTAACCAAATTATATCTAAATATAGCATGTTTATACTCGACTAGAGCGGCTCGACAAGACGATTCCAACGAGCCCTAGATCGCTCAATTACAGTGTCATTACGACACTTAAATGCTGCATGAACAATATACATTTCTATTGATTGTTCGATGGAGCACTCTGAATTTGCTATTGATCTTCTTCATATTTATGGAGTATGTTACTCTTAAAATGTATAAATAGACACTCACTCTCAATATGAAAAGGACTTTCGGAGAGACTTGGATCTTTAGCTAGAGATTAAGAGAGCTTTAAGGCATGGAAAAACTCAAATCTCCACCCTGGCACAATAACTGACGAACCCTCGTCGTCTGGCCATCACCACTAAACTTTCTCTAGTTGATCTTTGACGGACATTCAACCATCCACTAACACTGGACATTAATATGGTAAATGTAGTTATACCTCCGATCGACTATTGTCGCCTGACCTCTACCGACTGTCACCGTCAAATATTTATTGCACTATCAACTACGGTCTTTGGACCACCACCACTCTATTATAATCACTCTGACCTTCATCGTTCGACTACGTTCCCTCCAGCCTCCGTCGCTGGGCGACTGTGGTCCTTAGACCACCATTGCCCGATTACGATCCCTTATACCCTTAACTCACAGTTTTGTCCTAGTAGTGTAACTTCCAGTAGGTTGCCCATCCCATAATTGCTTCGGGATGACAACCCTTAAATTTGGAGTTTCTTAATAAAATTTCTACCACTACATAAAAAAAGTGCCTTGATGTTTAAGAGTTTATCTTCTTTTACTTAAGGGGTTTCACAATCTCCCTCACTTAAGTAACTAACATCATCGTCATCATCTTTATCCCAAAATAATCTACGAGGAAGATAACATTCTAGAGGTGGCTCCCATAAGTTCAAGTGTTAGCTTCTGTCATGTAGTACTTTATGACATGCAGGGTTCAAAAGGTGGCTTCCATGACGTAGCATTTTATCTTATATGGCACTTAGTTCCCATCTTCCGGCAAGTATATTGCCATAATACAACTTTGTCATAGTTCAAACTCTTAACTATCAAGATATTGTTCGTTTTGCCCATTTTGTCGTACAATTTAATGTATCTTACGAATTAGAATATATAATTTTTTACTTCAATTGAAGTACACATTTTCACACACCTTTCACAGAAAAAAATTCTATACACAAATTTAATCAGTGAAAATACAAGAAAATTATATCATATTATTTAGAATTATAAAATATATAATATATTAAAAGTTACTTGATAAAAGTTTACAAAATCAATAGAATATACTTTTAGCAGATTTAATAGAGACAAATTCATATAAATCAAAATAATCAAAAATATAAATAAGAGGGTAGTTACTTACATTGATTAAAATGATTTTTATAAAAAGAATGGTGGACTAAAATGCTCTTATTCGAGCCCAAATGGACCTAGATCAATAGCTTGAAGCATATTTGAAAGCTTGAAAATATTTATGGGGGTGACCAAATGATGTCTAAATATAACATGCTTATACTCGACTAGAGTGGCTCGACAAGACGAATCCAACGAGCCCTAGATCGCTCAATTATAGTGTCATTACGACACTTAAATGCAGCATGAACAATGCACATTTCTATTGATCGTTCGATGGAGCACTTTGAATTTGCTATTGATCTTTTTCATATTTATGGAGTATGTTACTCTTGAAATGTATAAATGGACAATCACTCTCAATATGAAAAGGGCTTTGGGAGAGACTTGGACATTCAACTAGAGATTAAGAGAGCTCTAAGGCTATGAAAAATTCATATCTCCACCCTGGCACAATTACTTGCGAACCCTACCACCTGACCATCACAACTGGACTTTATCTAGTTGATATTTGATGGACATTCACCCATCCACTGCTACCGGACATTAATCTGGTAGATGCAGTTATACCTCCGACCGACCATTATTACCTGACTTCTACTGACTGTCACCATCAAATATCTATTGCACTATCAACCGCAGTCTTTGGACCACCACCACTATATTATAATCCCTCTGACCTTCATCGTTCGACTATGTTCCCTCTAACTTCCATTGTCGAGCAACTATGGTCCTTAGACCACCGTTGCCCGATTACAATCCCTTATACCCTTAAATCATGGTTTTGCCCCACTAATGTAACTTCCCAGTAAGTCACCCATCACAGAATTTCTTCGGGATGACCACCCTTAAATATGGAGTTTCTTAATAAAATTTAAGCCACTACATCAAAAAGGTGCCTTGATGTTTAAGAGTTTAGCTTCTTTTATATAAGGGGTTTCACAATCCCCCCACTTAAGTAACTGACATCCTCGTCATCATCTTTATCCCATAACCATCCACGATCAAGATAAAATTCTAAAGGTGGCTCCCACAAGTTCAAGTGTTAGCTTCTGTCATGTAGTACTTTGTGACATGCAGGGTTCTAAAAGTAGCTCTCATGATGTAGCATTTTATCTTATATGACTTAGTTCCCATCTTCCGGCAATTATATTGCTATAATACAACTTTTTCATATTTCAAACTCTTAACTATCAAGATATTATTTATTTTTCCCACTTTGTCGCACAATTTAATGTATCTTACCAAATATAATATATCATTTTTTTTACTTCAATTTAATTAGTACACATTTTCATACACCTTTCACTGAAAAAATTTCTATACACAGATTTAATTAGTGAAAATACAAAAAATTATATTATATTATTTAGAAAGATCAAATCTATAATATATTAAAAGTTACATGATAAAAGCTTACAAAATCAGTAGAATATACTTTTAACATATTTAAGAGAGACAAATTCATAGAAATCAAAATCATCAAAAATAGAAATAAGCGGATAGTTACTTACATTGATTAGAATGATTTTCATAAAAAGAATGGTGGACTAAAATGCCCTGATGAGCTTTCTCTCTCCTTTCTCTTTATTATTTTCGCCCTCATCCTTCCTTTCTCTCCGACCAAACGACACGGGTGAAGGGTGAGGGAGGTTGTGGGGTGGATTTAAGGGGAAAATATTAAAAAAATATATATTTTTAGTGGTTTGGAGTTGCAGCACTCAGTCTCGATGCCACAACGCCGCATGCATAAATTAGAACTGTAGAACAAAGACATCAGTGTCGTGACGACGGTTTCTTGCTTCATAGTGCTCTTAACTCTAACACCGTAGCACTCAGCTATACAACACCGAAGTGCTCTAATTCCATCATCAAATTCAAATATTCACATTTTTCATTTAAAATGCTTTTCATATCTTTGGGTTATAACATATGAAGACACCACATTAAAGCTACATGTCTCTTTATAATTGTATTCATGGTTACATTTATATAATATTGAACTATTTGATAGATTTATTGATATAGGATACTGATATACAATTATTCATAACATAAAAATTGATAGAAGCATATAATAGAATCATCAGCATGAAACTAATAGGTAATTGATGATGTTTCATTGCAACTCAAGTTATAGATTTATTGACTTTTTAATGATCATATTTATGTTTACTACTTATTGATTGATATTAATTTTTATTGTAATATTTCTTTAGATCTAGAATATAAATTCGAGTTGCCTACTTGCATTATTTATTATTCTAGAACTTTAGACGATAAATAATTG